TATATATATATATATATATATATATATATATATAAGGTGTGTAAAAGGAATTTCATACAAGTTAGAGGAGTAAACTATATACTAAGCCCATAGGAAAACTATGTTGCAATAGGTAGGTTTTGTGACATGCCCAAGATAAAAGGCAGGTTGATGAGGGTGGATTACAAAAGGATTGTCAGGCTTGTACGTTGGGAGGTTTCTGAAAAAGGGATGCAAATAATATCTTAGGCGAAACCTATATCTGAATGAGAGAGGAAACTAAAGATCTTTATAAGACATAAAACAGGTTTAAATGGTACATACACTTTTTGGTCTTGATGGTGTTGTAGTCCAAGGAACAAATTTGTGAGGCATATTGGACCAAAAGAAATTATGTATTTGGGTTGTGAAAAGTATATACAGTATCAGAGCCAAACACTCCCTCAGTATGATAGTGGGGTATAATCTTATAAGAGAAGATGCTAAGTCTCTAAGGGGAAGGGGATAAGTATATGTGACGGCTCTTACAAAGGGTCAGCTGACGAGGGTAGGTCACTAAAGTACTAGTAGGCGTCTAGGTTGGCAAACTGTTGAATTTAGGTGCACATGACACCTTAGAAAAATCCTACATAAGAATAACGAAGGAAAATGAAGAGCTTAACAAGTTAGCACAAGTTCATAGGGTACACATGTTTTTGAGTTCGATGATGATGTAGTCCAAGGAAAAAATTGTGAGGCCTCATAGGGCAATTTGCATGAATAGTACGTGCCATGAATATAGATCGTGATAATTTTATATGTCTACCCCCGTGCAACTAGGTAAAGATCTTCACACAATCAAGTTACTACTTATAAATGTATTTATAAATAGAGGTATATCTAAAATCTAAACGTAATGAGTTTGGATGCCATAATATCTACTAAATATTCGAGTTACTAGGTCTCAAATTTAATATCTATATACATTTGGTAGATATTTATCACATACACAAATCTGGTCTAACTCAAAATTATTAGGTTCGGTTGAATTCATAGGCATCTGCGTCACACATATGATCTCCATAATAAACAATTATTAGGAATCTTGAAAATTAATTTGAATCTCTATAACAGTTAAATTACATCGACAATATACAAATCCTTTAATTTATGTAATCTATAATAACAATAATATATTTAGAATAATTTCATAAGTGGAGTCAAAAGCGAATAGTGATATAAAAACCTTACCCTTAACCTTATAAAGGTAAAAATATTATTTTCGATAAATCCTCGATTCAACCTTAATTAATTTTTGGTTATTAGTACACTACTAGGTGGGGTTGTTCAAACCTAAACCTCCCCCACTTCAATATGTTTTTTACTTAAAGTGGGACAATTCTACCTAAAATAAAGACCCATACAGGTTGTAATATAGTAATATGTGGATTATAGTAGCCAACACAAGACAACAAATTAATGGATTTTAATTGGGAATTGGGTGGTCTGTATATCTATCAAGAAAATGACCTGTTTTTATATAAAATATATTAAATTCAATAACCACTTCATCCTTTGGTTTCTCCTTTGCCTTTTTAAAATATAACATAATTTCCAATGTCAATTATATTGTAAGTACTCTCTTCGTTTTAATTTAATTATTTTACTGTATTTTTAGTCTGTTAAAAAAAAAGTATTCTTTTTTATTTTTGACAACTCTTTAATTTTTCAATGACATATTTAAGATTACAAAATTAAACGTCATTCCAAAGTCAAAATAAGACAATTAAATTAAAATAGGGGATAGTAGATGTTTGTTTACACCAAATAAGAACAAAGGTCTACAACAAATAATAATACTTGTAATTGTTTTAGGTGAACAAACTTGGAATTTTTCAATTATTATCCACTTGTTAGCAAAAAGTCAAAAAACCATGAAAAGCACTACTTTCTTGAACCTTCAAGTTGTCTTTAATATTCAAGAATGGCTATCTTTGCTATATGCATAAAATAAAATAAAATAAAAACATCTTCACACAAGAAGAGAAATAGAGCAATATATGTATAGGTTAAAGAAATTATTGCAGAAAATTAAAATGAAGGAAGTAATGAAGTAATGATCTAATGATCAACAAAAAATATGGCGAAGAGAGACAAAACAATTTTAGAAAAGATGCATTTTTTATTCCATTGTTTATATTATTACAAAAGGGAAAAAAATAATTAGATTTTATGCAATTTTTTTGTGCCTATAACAACTAAATAAGATTAAAATATCAAATGTAATTATACGTGTATAACAATTAATCACTAAAAAATCTCATAACAAACGAAACTGTTATAGAAAGATTTTGACTAAATCAAAACAAGACGAGACAAAAACTAAAGGTAACAAAACTCTCATCTTAAAAAAAAAAAACCACGATTCATTCATATGGCTGAAAATAAAACATAGTACATATATTACCACAACAAAACACATAAATATATAACAAACATAGAGGTGATTAATTAATAATTTCACCAAAATATACACATATATTAATTAAGACTTACGTTTGACATTTTTTCTTGTTTTTTGAGATTTATCAATAGGCTTCCCAAAAATACCACAAACACCACAACCAGATACCTTAGGAGATGGAGGATCTATGGACGGTTGCATGTAGTTATCTGTAGTTCGAGACTTAATAGGTCTCGGCTCTGGCGATTTTTTTTCTTTTTTCTTCTCTTGTACACCTTCTTGATCAATTTTCTTGAGTTCTCCGGATAATAATTTATCATCCCATATTAAACCTGATGAACCTTGTCTTCTAAATGAAATTTCTGATCTTGGTAACATTTCTCCAATAGATGGTTGATCAGCCATATAAAAACTATAGTCTAAATATTTTTTTCTTCTTCTTCTTGATCTATATGAAATTGAGTCAAAATAGTTGTTCAATATCTTGATATATACAAAACA